TGGTCGGTGATCTCGAAAAGACGGTACAATGGACCATACACGCCACCCAGATTGAAGCGCTCTGCTATTTTGTCCACAGAACTCAGCCCTAGACCGGTGTCTTTGTCCATCATTCCCGCCAAAGCTCGCTCCGCGGTCTTGAGCTCGGTAGCAGCGCGAGACACCTGACTGTCGATCTTTGCATCCTCCCGCCAGAGATCCTTCCGCTTTTCCACGAGCTCACTCTCCTGCTCTTTGAGACTGGTAATCTCATCGACGAGCTCTTTCGTCCGCCGCCGACCATCCTCGATCTTCCCCTGCACGTTAGAGATCTGGCCGTCCAGCTCTCCGAGGCTGCGTTGCGCTTCTTGTAAGCCAGTTTTGGTCGTCCGCAGAGCATCGGTTTGCGATTCCTTGTACTCGCCCATCGATGTGATCTCCTGCCTTAGAAACGCGTCACGTTCGGCCTTGGTTCGAAACTTGGCACCTCGACCTCGCTTGGCAGAAAGCGCCCCGATTCTTCCATTGGCCTCGTCAAGCGCCCTGCGCTCAGTTGACTCCTCCGCACGCACAGATTCCCAATCGGGCAAGATTTCGGCCAGAGATCCTTCACGCGCTTCGATCTGGGTCTCAATCTGGACCAGCTCTGCTTCGTTCTGCTCTCTTCTGCCTCCAGCTCGAACCCCCGCGTTGCGAAGATCATTTACGATGCATTCGAGTTCTGTGCGAGAACGGATGAAGTCTGTCAGCTCCGACTGCGCGTCTTGACGCGTTGAACCTGCTGTCTCCAGCGAGTGCTTGGTTTCCGAGATAATTCTCTCCAGTTCCTACATATCCCTATAAGAACAGAAGGCATAACAGGAGTAAGTTATGTTTACGCACCTGGACCTCCTTCTCTCGCTCATTGTACTTCTCGCGTCTCTGATTTGCGCCATGTACCTCAGCACGTCGGTCTTCTTCGATCTCCTCCAAAGCTTCGCCGACTTCGTCCAATTCACGCTGATAGAGAGCGTACTCGAGGCAACGACGTTCCTTGTCCTTCTCTTGAAACTCTTTGAGCTCTTCCTTCTCTTCTTCGAGCTCCGTCAGGCGGGATTCGATGTACTCAATGAGCTCGTTGATCTTTCCGCGTTTGGCCTCCGTTTCTGCCATAATACGGAGCGATTCAGTGCGCCGTTGTTCATAGACTTTGGTGCCTGCGACTTCCTTCAAGAGTGCGAGTCGTTCCGTGTCTTTGGCATTCGTTAGAGCTGTGATCTGGTGCAGAACAGTGTTAGTGCCGTTAAATGTTTGGCACAAAAAAACACACCCGGCCCTGTGGAACAATGTAGTAGGGGTTCGCTTTGCTGAATCCAGCCGTCTGGAGCAGTTCCATGACCTCCGCTTTGCTTGAACTCTTCTTGTCCAAAGAATACTCGTCCTTCTTCACTCCAATCGTACGTCGAAGGACGACTTCATCATGTCCCGTGTGAAATCGGTGGTCCGAGTTATCGAATATGATTTCAACGTAGGCAGAGAACGTGGCCGTAGTCGAAACGCCTTCGTGCAACAAAGCGCGTCGCTCTTCCGCTGACAGAGACGTGTACGCGTCTGAAAGAACAAAACGGATGGCAGCAAAGAAGTTACTCTTCCCAGAGCCGTTCCTGCCAACAACGACATTGTGGCCTGGAGAGAAAGGTTCAATGTTCGTTATGTCGCGATAGGACTTGAAGCCTTGAATGGTTATTGTCTTGATATGCATGTGTCCACGAAGATTTCATTCGCGAGCGGTTCAGCAATTCAGATAAGTGGCTTTCGCTCCGTAATTAGGGGATAGGACCCGTTGGTCCGAGGCGCGGTTGACCTGCGGACGCGGTGGACGCGAAGCAGTGGTATAACAGAGACAAACGCGCCAGCACTGCCTTGCATCCCCACATACTAGTTTGTTCCCTTTCTTTCCCACTGCTCTTGAAATCTGTTCTAGAGCTTCGCGTAGCATCCAAAGCACAACCACAAGTGGTGACTGCTAACAGAGCCGGTGCTTGAAAACCACTTCACGACCACTGTGCGGGAATCCCGTGCCCCGACACGCGCACGCACAAGACACCCACGATCGCACGGTTTCTGTAATCCTCTGCGTATCCTCTGATGCCCGCATTCGATCCTGTGAGGGATGCTGTGAGGAACTCCCCTGTGCTTTCGACACAATCCTTATCGCTTCTCAATTCCCCCCAACTCCCATCACATCCTCCAACACCACAAACACCATCGCGTGCCCTGCCCGCCCCAACGCGCCGTGCGACAGCTTTATCTGCGCTCCTCAACAACGAGGAACCTCCTAAATCATCGAAAATTTCGCAACTACTCCGCACGGACAGTGAAGAGGAACGGATAGCAACTCGGATAGGAACTCCCAGTTTATTCGATTCACCATCACTCGTCAAATCACCAGGGGACGACCAGTTGAAAAGTGCTCCTGCCATGCAAAAAACATTAAAGTACCAGCCAACGAAACGAATATCTCCCGCAAGTTCCGTGCTTCGGCCCATGTCACGAGCAGAAATGGACATGTACAAAACATTCCAGGGCAAAGGATCCGCCCGTCTCTCCAAACGGAAGCGGTCACGTTCCCGAACGCCAGATCACGATCAACCCCCACAAAAAAAGCATGCCGGAGACGTGGGTGTCGTTGTAGAGCACTGTGCGTGGCCACTATCCCTCCCTCCGCGTTGCTTACCTAGCTATTCATGAAGACAATGCACGCCCGGAAGTTGGTGTGGTTCAGCGCGAGAAATCTCCGATCATTGGCCTCAAAAGTTTCAACAATTGGGTCAAATCTGTGCTTATATCTCTATTTGCTCATCCGGCACTCCTTGCCAGTAAAGTGACATCAGGACGAGGGTCGAGAGGCTCGGGGCGTGGGAAAGTATTGGACATGGGCTGTGGCAAGGGTGGTGACTTGACAAAATGGGCCAAATCGCGTGCTGCGGAAGTGCTCTGCGTGGGTGCGCTTCTATCTCTATCCTCGTTTATGTTGTCAGCTGACTCCTGAAGACATCGCATCGGTATCGGTTGATCAAGCTCGCGCACGATGGCAGGGGATGCGGGGATACATTCCTGAAGCCTCATTTGCCAGCCTAGACTGTTACTCAGAATCCCTGGCGCGTGCTTTCTCTCCTGCAAAGCTCGCAGGGCCTTTGGATGCTGTCTCGATGCAATTTTGCATGCACTACGCTTTTGAAAGCGTCCAAAAAGCGCGATGTATGCTGGATAACGTCAGTCGATGGTTGCGGACCGGCGGAGTTTTCATCGGCACCATACCCAACGCAGAGCAACTTTTGTATGTGGACATGCTTTCACTTTAATTTCTTTCTCAAGGTGGCTCAGGCAAAATCTTGCTGCAATACCTCCGGACGCTCCGGAACTTACGTTCGGAAATGGTGTTTATAAAATTCGATTCGCAGAACGAAATCACAAAGGCTATTTTGGGCACAAATACTGGTTCTATCTCCAAGACGCTGTCGAGGATGTCCCCGAATACGTCGTTCATTGGGACAATTTGGTGCAGATGGCAGCCGAATACGGACTACATCCTGTGTACAAACAGGAATTTCATGAAGTTTTCGAGGACCATCGAGAACACAAAGACTTTGGGCCCTTGATGGTGAAGATGAACGTGGTTGACGCAAACGGAGAGAGTGCGATGGACGAAGACCAATGGGAGGCTGCGAGTATGTGTCTCTGAGTTCTCTTGAACGATCTGTTTTTTCTGATCGCCTCCACAGACATATACATCGCCTTTGCGTTCGAGAAGCGATAGCTTGAGATTGGGTTTGTAAGATAGAGCAGTTATAATCTGATACTGTACAGTCTGGTATGTAATGTTAGCTGAGCGTGTTCGTGGAGTATTGACGGCAGATCGATGAACGTATTTTCAGGGAGTCGATGAATGCGGTTTGTTTGAATGATTCTGAAGTACACGTGCAAGTATGGTATATACCATCTACTCGAAGATCCATGACTCCAAGCCGTTGGAGTACTGGATGATACCCTCAGGGAACCAGCTAGACAAACACATGAGCACTCCGATCCAGACACGGCTAGGGACACTGACAGCGCGATCTCCTTTTGGGCGCTCTCGACTGAGTCGGAACCGTGGCAGATGTTGCGGCCGACGGCGAGAGCAAAGTCACCGCGGATCGAACCTGAGGGTGTCTATGAGACTAGAAACTTGGGTCGATTACGTTCCTGGACGTACCAACGGGGGATGCCAGGGGATTAGTAGCACCGAGCATGACACGGCCGGTCTTGACAGCGTCAAGACCCTCCCAGACCATGGCGACGACAGGACCAGCGGCCATGTACTTGACCAAGCCAGGGAAGAAGGGCTTGCCCTTGAGATCGGCGTAATCTAGACTGGTCGTTGAGTGCACGATGGAAAGATGAAAATGAGATGGGACAGACGCTTCTCGAGGTGCTCAGTGGTGGCGTGAACAAGCTTCAAAGCGACGAGCTTGTAGCCACGTTCCTCAAAACGGGTGATGATCTTTCCGACGAGTCCACGTTGGACGCCGTCAGGCTGGGGAGAGTCAACAAACGTCTGAAGAGAAAGCAAGGCGACTAACCTTGATCATGATATAGGTCTGCTCCTTGTTAGACATGGTCGATGTAAGAGTGGTGAGGGTGACGAAAGTCGCGTTAACGATGTCACATCCAGACTTTATACGCGCGAAAGTTATCGATCAAGAGCGGCTTGCCAAATCTGAGCCGATCAGTGACAACAAACAACCTGTCACACTTGCTACTCCGAATTCATCCATAACAGCCATGGCCGGTCCTCTGGGTCTCTCCTTTGCACCGTACATCCGGTCCTCCCCCACGCTTAGCAAAATATTCGCTCCGGCGGCCAAGTGGTATGCTGGCGGCTCTCTCTACAGGCAGTATGGCTTGCTGTATGACGACCTCTGTGCGTGCTCCTTCGTACGGATTTTTACCGCTCGTGCCCGTACTCAATGTTTAAACCACTAGTGATTGAGGAGCGCCCGGAAGTCCAGAAGGTTTGAAGATTGTGGGTGTTGGGAGGAGTAGCTGGCTGATCCCGCCGTCAGGCCCTCGCTCGCCTGACTCCTCGTGAAGCCTATGATCGCCAATTCCGTATCAAGCGTGCTTCTCAAGCCGACGTTCTCCACGCGCCCCTCTCCAAAGACCTTTGGACCAAGCCGGAAGATGTGCGCGCTCATAACAGCGATTTACTGACGCGCTGACGATTGGCAGGACATCCGTTACCTCCTTCCCCATGTCGAAGCTGTTGAGAGCGAGCTGAAGGAACGAGCTTCCTGGGACAGTCTGGAAGTCCATAGAAAACATTAGATGCAGATGATTCACCCGTCGTCATGTTGCTACTTGAATGCCAGTCGTACATTCCAGGAGAGACTGAATCATGTCGAAGGTGCAAGCTCTGTAGTAAGTACTGTGATGTTCAGAAGCCCGCCTAGCGTAATGGAATGCTATCAATACGATTTGTTGGTGTACTGATCAATCGTGATCAAGTTCCCAGTTTTCAGTCCACCCGTTCTAGGTTTCTATTTGGAAGTAAGTACATGTTCTCTTTTACTGGTTTATTGTTAGTTGATCTACAAAGTGAAAGCCTTGACGAGGGGAGAGACGACCTCCCCGCCCTTCTTCTTGTAAAAGTCGATGACTTTCTTTCCGACGGCAGCGATGTTGGTGGGTGTGATACCAAACTTCTCGTAGACCTGCAGATAGGGACCAGAGGCACCCCAGCTCGGCAGACCGTACTGCTCGTGACTGTATTTCTCCCAACCCATGGTCTGGAACGGAAACATATCCTGAGCAAGCACACAAGATTCGGAACGAGTCACTCACAGTCAGGGCTTCCAGGGAGAGGATGGGTGCACCGCTTCGCAAAACACTGAGACGGTATTCCTGGTCCTGCTGGTCAAAGACCAGCCAGCAGGGCAAGCTCACGACACGAGTCGGGAGGCCCTGCTCCTTGAGTTTCTTGGCGGCCTCGAGGGCGATGCTGACTTCGCTACCGCAGCTGACGATGGTGAGGGCCTCATTGGGTTCCTCAACGGCAACGTAGCCTCCACGAGAAGCATGCTCGATGGTCGAACCCTCGAAGTTGGGCAAGTTTTGACGAGAGAGCGACAAGATGGACGGCGTTTGCTTCATCTTCAGCGCCATCGCATAGGCTGCGGAAGTCTCGTTTCCGTCAGCCGGACGCCAGAACGCGATATTGGGCGTGGCACGGAAGTGGGCGTTGGTCTCGACAGGCTGGTGGGTGGGGCCACTGCAGGGATTGTCAGGCTCGCACTAGAGTGTAGTGAGCAAATCACTGACTCTTCACCAAGACCGATAGAGTCGTGGGTAGCCACCCAGATAACCTGAGCCTTGCTCAAAGCAGACAAACGCACGGCGCCGGCCGCGTACGAAACAAAGTTGAGGAAAGTAGCAACGAACGGGATGATACCGCCATATGCGGCCAGACCGTTGGCGATAGCACCCATGGCATGCTCACGAACACCGTATCGGATATAAGTTCCAGCGTAGGAGCCCAACTTGGTGCTCGGAGGCTGGAAATCAACAGATCCCTTGACCTTGGTCAAGTTACTGCCGGTCAAGTCAGCGCTGCCACCCATCAACTCGGGTAGGACGGGGGTGAGCTTGGTCAGGGCGATTTCGGACAGTTTCCGGGATGCTTGAGCGGCATCGGCGGGGGTGTAAACAGGGAGTGCCTTCTCCCATCCGTCGGGAAGCTCTCCGGCGATACGACGAGAGAGCTCGGCATGCTCAGCCGGATATTTCTGGGCGTAAGCGGCGAATAGAGAGTTCCAGCTGGCCTCAGCAGCAGCGCCACGGGACGCGACTTCAGCGTAGGAGGCATAGACATCGGCGGGCACGACAAACTTCTCCTCGGGTGAGAAACCGAATTTGGTCTTGAGGGCAACGATATCGTCGGCCTTGAGAGCTAGAAAGGATCAGATCGCCGAAAAAAAGTATCAAATGGCCGAGCTCACGGGAACCGTGGACACCATGAGTGCCCTGCTGCTTGGACCCGAAGCCGATGGTCGTCTTCAATTTGATGATGGTAGGCTTGCTCTTCTCGTTACGAGCCTCGGCGATGGCAGAGTAGATAGCAGCCAAATCACTGGTAAGGGTGATGAGGAAAAATTGATGGGAGAGCAAAGTCCTGCACATACTGGTCACCGTCGTTCACCGACAGCACCTGCCATCCGTATGACTCGAAACGGGCACCAACATCCTCGGTAAAAGCAACGGCGGTGTCGCCATCGATGGAGATGTCTGAGCGAAATTAGAGATAGATAGCGGATCTGCGGTAACGATGCGTACGATTGTCATCATAGACCAAAATCAGATTGCCCAGCTGCAGGTGGCCGGCCAAACTGGCCGCCTCAGCGCAGACACCCTCCATCAAACAACCATCTCCACAGAAAGCTATGTAATGCCATGAGCTGTGTTGGGATGTGATTTTGGCGAGGGAATCCACCGTAAGTGTAGTTGTTGATCAGCTCAAACCCTTCCTTGTTGTAAATTGCACCGAGGTGGGCTTGTGCGATCGCAAGTCCGACCGCGTTTGCGACACCCTGGCCAAGAGGCCCCGTTGTGACCTCGATACCATCGGTGTGACCAGCTTCTGGATGACCTGGGGTGAGGGAGTTGAGTTGACGGAAGTCCTTAAGATCGTCCATGGACAGCTTGTAGCCGAGCAGGTGGAGCATGGTGTACTGGAGGACACATCTGCCCGCGGGAATGTGTTAGTTACTGAAAGAGTGGTTGGATGAAAGCAGTACGCGTGGCCGTTCTGCGGAGGCGAAATCAGTAGGAAGACCGTGCTGGATCCTCCACCCCGATGCTTACCGACAAGACAAAACGATCGCGATTGAACCAGTGGGAGCTCTTGGGGTTGGCGGTCAAGAACCGAGAGAAGAGAACATGAGCGACGGGCGCCATGCCCATAGGAGCACCTGGTCGTACATGTTAGCGCTTACAATTCACCAATGACGATGGGGAGGAATTGAACCTGGATGTCCAGAGTTCGATTTGAAGACGATATCGGCCGCCAAAGTCCGGATAGTGGCGACCGCCTGCTCATCGGTGGCGAGGGGGGAGAAGCTGCTCATACTAGAAGATCAGAGGAAGGGACAGGGTGAGGAACACTCGGACAAAACCGAGTTTTAATCTGCCACTGTATCGATGATCAAGCTCAGGCCGAACGGGCCCGAACGGCCCGATCATACTTCATCAAAGCCCGGATCTGTGCCAGCACTACCGACTGAATACCTTGGCAACCTCCCGATCACTACATTTAGTCACAATCCACTTCCTTTTTAAGGAGTGCGGTCATTAGGTTTACGTGATTCCCACGTTAGCTGCTTGTGTCAAGTTGTGCCATGAGTCTCTGTATGTTTGTCCAGCAATCTCACCAACTCGGTGAAACTCAGAGCTCTGGCCGCTTAAGACCTTGAGAATCGTAGCTGAATACAGTCACTCTGCACTTGTCGATTGCTGTCATCCACTATTCGTCAGCTGCACTCCCGTTTAGGAAGGCGAGGTGTGAGGATCGGGACCCAAAGTGTCTTTCCGTCATGCACCCACAACTTTCGGAAAAAAAGTTGGGTACGCATGCATTTTACCGACACTGCAGCTCGCCCAATGATCATCTGTGCAGTGTGTGCTGATTTCATCCGAGCTCTCGAGGAGTGCCACTCAAACAAATGGGCTCGACTGCTTGGGCGCTGTAATGACCAAAAGGAGCAGTTGAATTTGTGTCTCCGAACTGAGGCAAGTGCTGAACTCTCAACACAACATCGGAAGCTCTGACCTGTTCAGCGTCTCGAGCGCACCGCTGGCAACCGTGAATCGTCCAAGCTGAGGAAACTCAAGGCTGACGAGGCTCGGAAGAAGTTCTATGAAGACGAATGAACATGTCCTATTCCACTACACTTAGTTGTCTACCGAAGATTGCTACGCTACGAAGGACGACCAGACCCGTTTGGTGTCGTCGTTTTCTTCAATCTGACGAATCAACTCTGCGACTTTACTCCCAAGGTCCGGGTCGTCCTCGCCCGGCGTGCCGGCTGTATCTACCGGCGCAAAAACAATCTCACTACCGACAACGGCTTGACAAACCCGGGAGCCGATAGTGCAGATGTCAGTTCTGCGAGCAGATGCGAACGACATGAAAACTGAGAGCAATGTGTTTACTAAGCCACTATGATTCAAGAATGCAACATACCTCAATCTCTGTCTCTTCGTGTAATGTTCCCAAGTCAAGGGCATCTGAGGCATCTTCTGCCCCGTTCTCAGCAGCCAATTCCACCAAGTTGATGAGGGCCAAATCAGGATCCTCAGTACCCGGATTGAAGAGCACCTTCACGACACCTTTGCGATCGAATAAGAACCGAACTGGAGCCATTCGAGCGCTATTTGTCAAATGTTAGCACTTCATGGAGCGGAAAGAGACTGCGAAGTCACCCATGGTCGTTGAGCAATTTGCGCACGTCTGCGAAAGTTCGTGTAGGGTTCTCTGTTGTGCACTCTCTGGTTTCCGTTAACCTCAGTCATGACAAACAAAAGGTTTTGGAATATCACATTATTAGACCGACCGAATTGAAAGCCATTGCTTCGTATACGATGTCGTCTCCGCTCTGGTCTCGCTTCTTACGAGCCTGAAGACGGACGGTCAAATGGGCACAACGTGAGGAGTAAAATGCTCACTCTTTCCAAGGCATTTTGGATATTATCTTTGGGAATGTCTTTCAAGCGTCGGAGGATGGCAGCAAGAGCAGAATTGCGATCCGGGTCGGTCGATCCTCCGCCCACTGCAGTCAGAGCATGTAGATCAGCGCTTGGACCGCAGCAATTTCAAAAAGACTTGCAGCGAACAGCGTTCATGATATCCCGAGCAGCTCGCGTGTACGCGACATTTTTCTTGCCATCATTGACACCTTTCTTATCCTTGATTTTCGACCACTAGATGGGGGCGACCGGTGGGCCGAGGGCACCTGAGAATTACTGAAGCCGTTCGCACCTTATTGTGACCAGAAAGACAGAGCTGCGAGGAACTAAGAGAACGGCAGGACAGTCGACTTGTTTGGCTGAGGGTTGATCGCAGCATCTAGAGTCACGCGTTACGATTGAACGTCTACGAACACCGCCATGAGTGGACGACATTCCGTAAGGATTTGGCCCGGGCCAAATCAGAAATGACGTAATGGTAACGTGACATTTGGCCTCACTGTGAAACCGGAGACGAAATCGAGGCCAGCCGGATCAGATATGATAGATAATTGATAATGTACATCTCTACTTTCTACATGCTACCATGGCCTCGAGAGCACACCAATTACTTCAAGAATGGGAGGAAGAAGGATGAGGAGAAGGAGGAAGAGTTGGCCTTGGGAATTGCAGGGGTTTATGCCATGCTCACGCAAAGCGAATGGTGCTGTAGGTGCCGGACCCCGGCGCCGTCAAAATAGCACATAATTAGATGGAGAGGGTTGAGAAGCTTGGCTAGAACGCGTTGAGTGTTGCTTGCTGGCCATTTTGAGAGCTTAGGAAGAGAGAGCAATACTTACATGTCGTGCAATGCGGCGAGAGAGAAGCGTCGATTGTCGGCAACGATTTGGCCTGATGGAAATGCCTTTTTTGGATTTGGCCGAGGCTCAAGACCCTCGGCCAAACCAGGCCAAATCATGCTGATTTGGCCTGTGGAGCGTTTGTGATTTGAGCACAGCCTTGATTCACATCACATCAATTGCGTCATATTTTATCTATATATGGGGTTTGGCCTGGGCCAAATCCTTACGGAATGTCGTCCAGTCTACGTGGATCTGGACCATGCATATTCAATTTACGACTTGGAGATATTAAACAAGTCTGCTGTCTGGAATATCCACGTGCAAGTAATCCACTGTCGGGAAGTCTGTCCGGGTTATGCGTCGGGACTGCGGATGCATCAGCGACGGCTAGCAAGGGGGCACCCATGTCGACTTACTCTCCGCTTTTGTTCCCGCATGTCTTCTTCTGGGTCCATGAAAAATGCATTTGGGGCGATCTCCGTCTTTCCTAGCGGCTGTTTGCGAAACGGGTCCTCCTCGGGCTCGAATATGACTTCTACGTCAAGAGGTGGTGTTGGAAAGCGGGGGCTGCGCGCGACCTCCAGGCTTTGGGTCCCTCGTTTCAATTGCTCGTTCGTCCACGGCGATTTTTTGTACGCCTCGCTTTTGGCTCTGGCTCTCCGTCTTCTCTGATTCTCGTCCGCTACACCATTCCAATACTCTTCTTCGTCTGTGATCTTCAGCACGCCGTGGTCCTCAGGATTTAGCATCTCCGAGGTGTTGAATGGGTTTGGCCCTTCAAAGGTCTAGCATAGTTAGTGGGTTCAAGCATGGATTGTTGGCTACGCACTGGATTCAGGGCAACTACGTTACCGATAACTATTGTTGGCGAAGAGCGGAAGCGCTCACTGCGTTCAGCAAGCTCTGCCTGCAAAATGTGTCGGTGGACTGCGACTACTAGATCTCGTGAAAATACCTCAATTCTCGTTCTCTGGGCCTCTTTTCCTTCGAAGATGTTCGCAATGCGTGGCATAATGGGGTAACTGGTGGTGATTAGGGGATGTCTCGGTCTCGTAGCTTATATAGGACACAAGTGAGACCAGGGCCGGAAATTTGGACCGCCTCCGCTGTTGCCGCTCCATGTCTCACGTCGGAAGGTTTCAGACTCATGCTCCGTTCGTGTAATCTTCTAAGGATACGAAAGGTTTACTGAAGGGGTCCTGTTTCCTTTTCGGGCAGACTGTCATTGCTTGCTTCTGCCCCACATTCACGTACGCTGTTTTCAAGTTCTTTGTGAAACGCGAGCCTAGATGTTGAATGCTGTATGTCTGGAATAAAATTGGGGCTCTCAGTTCATTTGGCATCTTTCTAGGCCCATGAACATGCTGCAAACGCGGAGGATATGTTCGCACAGGGCCTGGTGCGTTTCGGCATTCGCTTCTGGGATACTGCTAAGTATGGCCTTCCAGTTGATTCCAGCTTCAGAAGAGCATCTCAAGGTACCGACGCGAGACCTTTCCTGTTGTAAACCATTCAGGTACCTTCCAAGGCCGCTCAAGCTTATGAGAAAGCCATGGAACGTAATCACGACGAATCAGTTTAGTAGCCGTGTCCTCTCGTGGGTCTTTCTCATATTGCTTTGTGTAGACCAAGAGAACGTTGAAGATGCTGTATAACGACCACCAGAGAGCAGGGAAAGACCTGGAGAGGAGGATCGAGCAGCTGAAAGCGGAAGGGAAAGATCCGTCCTTGCCACACAAAGTTGCCAACACGCCCCGTGCCTCGACTATGCCCGAAAGACGGACTGAAAAGTCTTCGCATTCTCCTCAATCAGAATCAGCACCATCCGCGCCTCTACCACGTCCGATGACAGACTCTCAAGGAGTAGATGAGTCGTTTATGCTGCTGGGCGGTCAACGTGTACCGAGTTTCGACTCATGGCGTCGGTCTTGTTGCTGATGCATAGTCTTCAGTCCGATCCCGGAGACCCTTTCAACCAGTTTTGGAACATCATGCAAGGGATGCTCGACAATCTCTCTCAGCCCGTGGCGTTCGCCACTGCTCCGTTGGGCCATGTCGAATCGGTCTCTTCAAGTTCGAAGCGGACGAAATTGGCGTCCCATCTCCCGCGAGAAGGCAGTTTGAGTAGTGATACCGACCTGGAGGAGCCTATCGTCTCACGATTCGCGAGACGACTGGGAATCAGCGGCGACATCAAGAAGCAGGATCGATCATCGAGCAACCTGAAGCCATTGTCGTCGGATCTTGACGGAGACGAGGATTCCGAAGCAGGTGCTCTTCTTGATTCAACTGTTGCTTTGGCGCACGGCTGAACGAATCACTCTTACAGGGGACGAACTAGCTGAATCGTTCTACTTGATACCATCCTCTGCTGAACCCACTGGGATCGAACTGAAGCAAGAGAACGCCTCCCTTACGCTCGAGATCGAAGTTCTGAAGAAGAGGCTGGAGAACGTGGAACAAGCCTATCAAAAGAAGGATGCCCATCTGAGGGATTCAATCTACATGGCTACGAAAGAGGTGCTGTGACGTGTCGTCGAGTGTCTGCTTACATTAACCTTCGATAGGCCCATCGAGCCATGACTTTGGGCACTTCTGTTAACGGACCACAGCTTCTGGCCTCGATTCTACGCGAAACGCCTGGGACCAAGACTGGACGTGAGGCGCAATATGCTAAACGTGTCAAAGAGCTTGAGGACGAGCTTCGAGCGGTTCGGGATGATTTGAGGGGCGTACGCGCCGAGAACGACAAACAGGTGATGTTGTTTTTCTGCCGGACTTGCATCGCTCGCTTATACATGGCACAGAAAGCCATGATAACCCGCTACCAGGAGAAATGGGAAAAACTGAAAGAGTCGGCCAAGCGCAGAAAGGAGTCCAAAGCCGCCGCTGGTGCCTCCCGGCCTGGTGGCTCATTAGCCCGAGAACAGATTCCAGAGGAGCCCGAGCCAGGGCCGGATGATCCCTAAGTGTGATTATATAGATCTGGAGCCATCATTGTACTATTCATTCTATGCATCCCATTTCTTATGCCTCGCATTACAACTTGGCTCGTTTCTCCCACTTGTCCAGCCATTCAGTCAAGTCGGCCGAAGAACGCTGTGCCATGTCATGTAATGCCTCCGAGTCTGAAAACAACACATACCTCAATGTACTGGATGCGTGTGCGGATGGTTTCCAGCGATTGTGCGATTGCCATGCTGTACTTGCTCGTATCCTTGTCCTTGAAGAATTCTTCTGCCGCTGCCAAGTCTTTTTCGGTCGACAGAGAAGAGAAGGTGGCCTGAAGCAAGAAACGAATCAGCGACGATCAAAGACCAGCCAGCCTAGCCACTGACAGAAACCAGCGATTTGATAGTAAAGTTTCCTTCAAATCGTTTCATGAGCTGGAATGCATTCAGCAGGAGGTAGACAATCGATTGAGTGTGGGAAGGGGACTTGCATAGTCGTAGTTTTCGGTAAAGAACGAGACCAAGGGTTGTTGCGCTGAAACATTGGACTGAAGACCACGGAAGTAGTACACCAGATCCTGGTCACGGGATTTCAAGACAAGGCTGAAAGTCTCCTTGAGCAGATCCGGATCCAAAGTCCCGGACAAAGCGTAGCTGGGGAAAGCGGGTCAATCAAAAAGTTGGCCCATGCCTCTTGACATTGACTGACATAGCAGAGCTGCAGAGTCTCAGTGCTTGGCATCGAAGGGATAAGGAGAAACGCTCACATTTTGCTTTGGGGTGTCTTCGGTTTGTGCAGTATGTTGACGAGGGCGTCGTATTCAGCGCGGCCGCCGTGTCTTGCAGCCTGTGCGCATGGAATAAGAATTGTGTACTGTTCGCAAGAATGACGTACCGCCAGATAAATGGCAGCCTCCAGATCGGCAGGAATCTTCGAGTCATCGCCGCTCTCCATGTAGTGAGAGAAACGACTCTTCAGCTCGTCAATGACACTGATGGGGGGATCAAGGACAGATCCAGGAAAACATCGAGAACTGTACTGACCTCTGGTCACGAGCAGACATTGCGGCACCGATGGCCAAAGTGCGCATCTGAGTGACATCCAGGTCTTCTCTCTCAAGATACTCATAGCCCAACTTCTTGACCAACGGTACAAACAGCGAACGATTAAACGCCCGCAGTGTGTCCACGATTTTCTGGTTTCCAGAGAAAACTGAGACGAGACCACCCAGATTTCCTGCGATAGTCGACCAAACAAGGTCTGATGTGATCAGGAGATGTGACAGAAACATGATGAACTGGATCGTACATTCTTGCTCATTCGACCATTGCTCGATGACGGCAAGGGGATCACTGCTCTTTGCCAGTCCTGCCTTGGAAAGGGCCGTGACATCGTACAATAGGCCCATACGATCGTCCAGGGAAAACACCGAGTTTGCCTTGGCTGCCTCGGCTGCAATTGCCGCAAATCGTTCCGGAGTGTACAGCACACGATCTGAGAGCAGCAAAACGGTCAATCCAACAACCACTCTTAGAGATTTGTAAGCACCCACAAACGCCCGAGGTGCCTGCATTCAGTTTGAACGCGCTTTTCGTGTTCAGGGCGAAGAACTTTTCCCGCTCCTCGAGCACAGCAGTCTTGTCCACGCTAGCAGTTCCTTCGGCAGTCGCCGTCAGGATACCCAGCGGAATGTTCCTGTTTCCTTTCAGGGCGATGAGGTGCAAAAAGGGCAACGACTGACCAGATGGTCTCGTTTTGATCGGCTTCCACATGGCCCGTTTCGATGAAACGGTCCTGGCGCACCAGGATCCCTTTGTCGGTCTCAGTCACGGTAAGCACCGGGAATCCTTGCTTTTCCCACGGTCAATGCAATTCTGACCGTACGACCACAGAGACAGTACCTTGTTGATCCAGTTGTCCATCAGTCGCACAGTGTCGATTCCTGTTGCAGTGGAGATGCCTTCGAACAGATCTTTGGTCACAGTGTTGCCGTAAAGATGCTTCTTCAAGTACAGTGATACGCCCTTGAGGAACTTTTCTTCGCCAACATAATCGGACAACATGCGAAGCACTGTACGACGTCAGGCCAGAGAAGAAGCCCCAACCACGACTCACCGGCTGCAGCTTTGGAGTAGGAGAGCGAATCGAATATCTGGTTGATGTGGTTGGCATCTGGACACTCCACCTCGATTGGATGAGAAGAAAGCTTTGCGTCGAGGGTCAATGCAGCCTGCAAATGGTCGGAAATGAACGCCGAATTGACTTTCCATTCTGGAAACAATCTGAACACATCATGAGACACAATCCATGGAGAAAATGTATGCATTACTTGTCTGCGGAAGAACAGCTGTCAGCAAGCACAGAGCAGGGTGTCCACCAACTTACCGAGGATGATGACCTCTCCCATCTGACGAACCAATCAGACGTCAGCAGAGATACCCCCAACAAGAATCGCACCAAAGTTGCAAAGCCTGCTCCAACGATCAGCAGATTGCGGACGAGCATTCAAAGAAAAACTCTCCTTCATTCAGATACAATGTTTCCCACCAGCTCATCGTCGTGATGTTTCCAAACCACTGGTGCGCTACTTCATGGCTCTGGGTCACAGCCACGTTCTTCTTGCCACGAAGATCTGCCTTTGCAGGGTCAAGGAGAAGAGCATTAACACGTCCTGTGATGAGACCCCAGTTCTGTCAAGACATTAGTTCTCGTCAAATAGCTTGAATAGGCCTTCAACGCGCCTCCATTGCACCGGCATCGAAATCAGACGCAACAAGCGAGTCCAATTTGGGAAGGGGATACTCGATATCGAAAACTTGCTCGTAAATCGGCAACACCTTGGCCGCGACGTCCAACCCAAAAGCAGCCTGGTGAATCAGATCCGGAGTACCTGATCACGTCAGCGAGCTGCTGCATTACAGCGGACGATCGACGACTGACTGTAGATGCGCAAGGGAATCGTTCTCCCGCTGAGCGGGGAAACAGCGCTCTGTTCCAAGTAGACGAAGGGGCCGTTTGCGAAAGCGACGAGATACGTAGACATGAGCGGGGTGGTCTCAAACTTGGTGATCTTCCACTCGCAATCGGGAGCCAGAGACGCGGCCAGTTCTCCCGTAGCTTGATATGGCTGCTCCGAGAGCGCAGGCATATTGCTCAAGTTGACGGTGTCCTTGTGCGAAATCATGGTGACCGCAAATGTCGCCTTCAGCGCGGGTTCATCCCAGCAAGGAAACGCAGCCCGGGCGTCTGTTGGCTGAAGAGTATATCGTTCAGCTCTAGCGCAGAGCGGAGGGAGACACATGCCTCGAATTGAGTGAGAGCGTAGTATTTCGTCTCCCCGCTTTCCTCCCACGCGGACCGGTAGTACCCCGTCATACTGTTGCCAAGCGCCGAAGCATCGAACGGAATCTTCAGGTGGGCTTTCGTTCCAGCGGTCAAAGGTTTCGGCAGCGTGTATTTGACGCGTTGCAGCGATGTATCCAACGTTTGTTCCACCAATGGTGCGTTCAAACCAATCTCATCGGAGAAGATGGAACTGACGAGAGCCGATGAGCACATGACGATGATCGATCCAACGAAGTGCGTACGCGGTTCCCAGCTGCAAGTCATTCGTGTTGAGCTCGATTGTCGTGGTATCCGCCTGTACGTCGAGCCTGACAAAGTTATTCGGGTCTGGGACTGAGCAGGTCGGGCAAAACTCACTCGATGCTCACGAATCCACCGAATTTAAGGGCCTTCAAGTCCGTCCAGACGGTGAGGTCGTAGTGCAGGGGCTTGACATTTGTCGGAAGACGATACTGTTTCAAGTCTGCATCCATTGTGGGCGGCGAGCAGTATGTTCTGCAGAAGAGAGATGGTTTAACGTGAATGCGAGGACGGGGGGTGGTGCTCGAAAGGGAAACCGATCGGAACCACCCGACTCGTCCGATTCGAGTTCCTCTCTGGCATAAGCTTGTCGACCACATGCAATTTGACCACATGCAATTGCACGTGCGAAACACGTCGCGAACTGTCGGAAATCCTTCGAAGAATGTATTTCTGGCCGTAGACCGCCGAGTTGAGCCTGTTTCAATACCTTCTCAGCTCCGCAGTCCACCGTGAGTCTGCAGCTAAAATTCAGATTTTGGATCACGTGTAGTCCCGTGGTTTCCAACGTCACACAGTGCCTTGTGACGCTTCGCGTTCCAGTGACGACTCATCCAAACCTCTGCTCAAACAACTATCATGGCCATGAGTTCCCCGCTCTGCGTTCTCTCTTCAGCCCACCGCTCAACGGCTTTATTGGATCAAGATCACATCCTTATCTATGGTTACATCTCTTTTCCTATCCTGTTGAAGGAAGGCTCAGAGCATGATCCCATTACCAGCGCTTTCCCTCCAACGACCACATCGAGCGCGCGAGACCTGTATCCAACGACAATCTCGCTTTGCTAGAAGCTTTGTCAAGAAGAAGGAGCTAGTCATCTGCTCCAAGAAACATGTTCTCCAGCTGGCGCATCGCGTCTCTGTTCTATCGCGGTGTATGACTGGTGTCTCTGCATCTCCTCACGTCTAACTTTGCTGTAGCAACTGAGTCCACGAAGAGAAAGACCGGTATTGCTCACGGTACCGTCTCATCCCTGGAACATGCTCATACAACAATCTCTGCTCGTCGCACGGCTTCATCGACCCGCACCTTACCCTACCTCAAGCTGCATATCAACACTCCCAGTTCTCAATCCATCTCCCCCAGCCACTTTCCGACCCCTCTCACTCCTACCAACCAGCTGATACAAACACCGTCTCAACCTCCTCTTGCACCCAAAGGTTTTCCTTACAAACACGCTCGGCATTGGAGTCCATTCGTGCTTGCGATGCAAATTGACAGCAACACGACTGCTATGCCGAGTCCCTGCACCCCAGAATCTCCGATTCAAGACATACATATTCATTTCTCACGTCCGCGCAATTGTCAAGTTCCCCGACGACTCTCGTACTCTCAAGCCTGTTCAACGCCGTGGACTCCGAATCTGCAGTTGGCTCATCCTCTCGCATCTCCTGTGTTGATTCACAAATCTCTGTGGGCTCCGCCATCTCCTGTTACGACACCGCGATACCAACTCGAGGAACTACAGTTTTCCCCTTTCCGTGTGGAGATATTTTAATGTCAGTTCATTAAGATTGTTGTGATACCTTGACATACATTATACTGTAACCTAATGACCTCAACCCTTCCACTGTGCATAAGTGTCTAGCAAATGTATCCATACGTACTTTACGAGAGCTAATAATGAACTCTATGACGACCGGAATCTAATGATGGCTGACCTTGTGTCGGCGATTCTTTCCCTCGACCATCATGACCGGTTCGACCAACAAGACCACATTAGCCTCGGTGCTGCCCACCTTGAGGGTAGCTACTCCAACTTCTGCCCCTCCGCTTAAGCCTCAATGAATGAATGCGCTCTAGCCACCACCGATCAAGCGCCGGCACTTACGCAAAGTAAACTCGGCTTTCTCCACATTTCGAGCACTCGGGTGACCAGTTTGATTTCCAGTACTCATGGCTCCCCGACGTCTTCCGTTTAAAAGGAAGCGTGCGTTCTCTTGATTTGCCACTGCCAACTGCAGTCTTGAAGCAGTATTCCAGATCATCAGTAGGATCTTTGGGCCTGTGCTCGTGCGTGTGTTTCGTGGGTGTTCGAACAAGGAAAGCTCGCTGAAATCCTTCCTGGAATACAGACCGTTACTCTGTTTGCTACGGGCATCGCGTATGCCAGCCACCACGGTTATGTCCTCTTTGCCACCAACAGCATCGTTCCGTTGCTTTCAGTCGTGGTGCGTGCGGCGACTGTCATTCGTTGTGTGTCCGCTCACTACGCACAGGTCGGTTTGATTCTCGTCTTCAGAAATGGGTTCGTGTGCCTGGGCGTAAGGTGTTGCTATCAACGTCTCTAAGTTTGCTTCCAGGACGTCCTACGATCGCTGGTGGGAAGGTCGCAAATGTTTTGCCTCTATAACCTCCAACGTTCGGAGTCTCACTCGTCTTGTATGGATCAATGTCGCGCTCCCTCCGACCGACGACCAGCCCGGAAGTGCCAAAGGCAAAACACCCACGACTGAAGTCACGAGCCACCAACTACACCGCAGGAAGACCGAGGTGTTGCAATTGTGCGCGGCATTCGCATTCGCTACCAAAGTGTGTGGGCCCTTGAACTGATCCCACTCCCGACAAACATTTTGTAGCACTATCTGCGTGGCGAGGATGGTCTGCATTGGAACGACTACCACGGTGTTCTCCCTGCGGCTTTCATCAGAGCGGATGAAGTGGGATTCAACACTCAGCACACCACTGCGTCAAGCTCCTACGCGGCGACTCTCAACCACTCGGCCCCCTCTTCTAACGGTGGATCCACTGACCATATCGCGACACGTCCAGATGCCACGAAGCGCGTGCGGCCGAAACGCAGCAAACAACAGGTCGGACCTCGGACCCCGCTGCTTTCCGGAACTCAAAGAACAGTCGAATTCCACCCGTATGCTGATGAAGCCTCCATGCCCTTACCGCTGGTTATCGCGCATGAAATCACACGCAAGCTGTTCCAATTCCGGCGAGAGGGATTCTTGGAGACCGTTGGACCGGCTGGTATGTGGTTTATCTCCCCGGGGACTACCCAGAATGCTGACATCAACTCGAGGTACAAATGCTATGACTGCTATGTATGCTTCAGACGGGTATTGCTTGTGGCCGTACTGATCCGCCTCAAGTGTGCAGAATATGGTCGAGCAACTGACCTCCATGGAGCGGTGCGTCGGACCCACTTTTCGCAGCTTCCCAATCTCATACTCGAACGTTACAGAGTGGCCAATACGCCTATTCCCGTGTCTTGTGAGAAGCCTCCTATCATATATCCGAGCAATCACTGAGGCCGAGGGTAGACGGAATTCATCTCAAGCAATGTGTCACGCTCTATCTGTTTGCTCTTCCTTTGACCTTGGTCAAGGAGCTCGGCTGGGCAATGGTTCCTCTTGTGACTGTGGTCGCGTTTACGTTCATGGTCTGTCCTGGTTTTGTTCGTGCTCTCCAGGTATTTAGTCGTGTCCAGGGAATCGAAGGAATTGCGGACGAATTGGAGCAGCCGTATGGTAAGGGAGACTTGAGGCCAGGCATCCGACACCCTTCTCAACAATTTTCCAGGGGATGACACCGGCGATCTTCCTCTCGATAGGTATTGCAAAGATCTCAAAGAGGAAGTCGAGTGAGTGTCCATTGTCACCATCTTCCGACGCTTCTCATCCAGCGCTAGTTACATGATTGAGAGGTTGCCGGAAGGTGGCGAAGGCATTCACGGCTGGGACGACGGAGAGGGCGATGACTGAAGTCGATGGAATCAACTGGGACATGCACGATACATTGTATTGTGAACTCATTCTAATGCTGATTATCGAAACTCTGGCTGGCAGTGTTCACCAGGTCCGTAGGGCTAGAGATGGAGCATTAAGCCACAGGCAAGTGAAAACAACCAGTTCAACGTACTTTGCTAGTAAGCGCGGTCAATCCGGCCGAGTTCTCGCTGGTCTGACGGCCACTTTGCGGTCCAGGCTTTGGCTTCTCGCCCTTCGCAAACGCATCCAGGATCTTTTTGGTCGTCTCCGGAGTCAGATCCTCCTGCGCATGCTTGTCAATGTATGTGGCGTCGTAAGAGAAGGAGACCCACATAGAAGTCGTCGCCCACGACGAGCATGGGGGCATTGCTGCAGGCGCCCTGGCATTCCACCTCGATGACAGTGAATTTGCCGTCTTTCGTCGTTTCGCCAGGCTTGATGCCACCAAGATGGGCGCAAGTCGTGTTGAGAATCTCAGTAGAACCCATGAGCATGCACGGAGTGGTGGTGCACACTTGGACGAAGTGGGTGCCTATCGGCTCACTGCGCACACGATTGAGAAGCCCGGCGACGCAGATCACACTCCCGCGACGTACCGATTGAACATGGTGTAGAACGTGGCGACCTCGTAGACTCGCATAGGCGGCATTTCCAGCGTCTTTGCAACATAGTTCATCACACTGATACTGGTCCATCCCTTGTTCTGCCTCTGTCCCAAGTCCAGCAGAGGAATGACGGCGGCTTTCTTGTATTGAGGTGGGTAGCGCGATATTATGACCTTGGCCTTCTTGAGATTCTCTTCGTTGAATTTGAATTCGATCTTCAACGTGCGTCAGATGCGTCCGGGAGAAGCAAGGCGGGCCTGAGATTAAGTACCCACCTGGGGGTTGTTGTATGGAGTATCACGGTGCTGAGAATGGGTAAGGTCACGAGACGAAGGAGCAAGTGGGGAAGACGGACGATGAAAAGGGACTCTGATCTTTTCGAAGCCGTGGAGGACAGGTAGCGCGTGGGAGGCGCGGGCACCCGGGGCAGCCGACGGGGTAGTCTCGCAAACATGCTTGTCGGGATTGGATGACGGTTTCCGGCACTGCCACTCAATTCGCGCTCACATGATGACGGCCAAATACACGACGGCAATTGATGAGAGTTAGCTTTGTGAAACTGAAGCGGCCAGCCTGCTGCCTGAAAGTATCTGGCCTCAAATTTTCAAATCAATTAAGCAGTGTCTATCATGGATCGCCGCCATTTTGAAGTCAAGGTATCCACTTTTAGTAGAACACCAGCGGCAGCTCTTTTGAGCTTGATCTCCTGAATCCCTCCTTCGCCAGGTAGTTTAGCACCCCGCTCGATAGAGCTGAAAACAGAAGAGGCCCATTCCCCGGTTGCTAGAAGCAAAGTTGTGTTATCCAAGCCCAATGAACGGCCGTCATCGACCTCCAGACATCCATCGAGAACGATGAGAGAGAGCTCCAGAGCAGAGCTTACAACGGCTGCCTCCTTGCCACCGCTGTTTCCATCGTTGTCGTCATCGCCTAGGCTCATCGGCCGAGTTCCAAGAGTCACCGCGAGCTCCAATGCTTCAGGGGCTATCACGGCCAGCCACTCGGGAGCATTCTTCGAAGCATGCACCAAAACAGCCAGTGTGATCAACAGGTGAGAGAGAACCATAGGATTCAATATGAGTCCCGTGCCGGTGCTCTGGTATCTCTGCCTGCCGAGCCGTAACGCCGTGCGTTCTTCTCGCGACTGCTCGTCACGGAAAAAACAACCAGAATCGGTTGATCAGCGGGGCGATGAAGCATTCGGCAGCAACTTGAGTGAAGGACGTCTTTTGGAGTGGTCGATCAGGCTCTACCTCCTTGACTAAGGGCTGCTTTTGGACTCGAAGTCTGCGTTCTCGGACGAGCTGAGGGACCTTATCTACGTTGTCCCGAGCGTCGCGGTCTAATGCCTCTTGGCTGATATCCTCGACCAGTCGAGGCAGCAGCTGGTTGCCATTCTCGACATACTTCTGGTGCAGAAGAGACGGCAATGTTTTGCTTGGAAAAGCAATACGATGTCGAGGCACGGCAGAAGAGGGGATGCTGAGCGAGGCCAGTTCTCTGGCTCCCAGGGCAAGAGCGTTGAGCATCACATATCGCTGATCAATTGAGTACTGGTTTTTGAAGAATTCCTCGATGATACATCTGCAAGGAGTCATTCAAGTAAATCGGATCCAAGGACGACATTACTCACGTCGCTGCGACTCGAGGAATACAAGCCACCAAAGCGTTCAAAGCACCCTGCCTCTTTTCGGAGAAGCCTTCCAATTCGTAGTTGTCTTGCAGTCCGACCAACCCATAGACCAGATTGACCGCATTTTCCTCTACAGCCGGATGAGATTCTCTGCACACGGAGGAGCCAAAAAAAAGACACCTAGCTCCACACCATATCCTGTCTTCTTACGTATCAGCTCCTCAGCGCAGCTAAGCCCCACCTCCAATTCATCCGCCTGCTTGCTCTCGTCCACCTGCACCGACCCCGGTGGCCGAATCAGAGCCCCCAGTTGAGCAAGATAGACGGGACGAGGGACTTTCTTGCGCCCTACGCTGAGCGTAGGATCTTGCTCAATCTCAGCCAGTTCTGATCGCGTGGGCGAGACCGATCTCGACGAAGATTCGGAGATGTACCCGCTCAGAGAGTCGTCGTCCGAGTCGTATCCGACCTCGATTGGGTTCTCGCGATGATGGCCTAGGGGCGGCAGGTCATCCGCGACAGCTTCGGGGATCGGCAGGCTTGGCGGTTCTTCAAGCACTTCCGCGTCCACGTCCTTGATGGCAAGTAGTGCTCGTAAACTCCGTGCCCACACCTTTCCGTCACTGTCTCCGTCCCAATCTTTGAAGTCAAGGGTTTTGCCTGAGCGTTGGGCAACAAATTCGGCAGCAAGCATGCCGCATCTCCGAACTGAGTCGTCCAGATGGCTGATATATTGTCCGATGCTCGAGATAAGCGCTGGAGATAGCGCCAGCGACTGCAGCTTCGATGATGAGGGAGGAAGATATGACAATGTGAGGAGGAAAATGGCAGTGACATCTTGATATGAATGTCAAACAGCCTCTTGAATCGAATGACAGAACGCACATCTGTGTCTGTTCAACAGCGAATGCTTGATGTGTTCCGGATTAGACCCCAGGTCAAGTATGCGATCCAGCAAAGTTTCCAAGGCTGCATCATTGAGCATCGGCCAAGGGCAATAGGAAAGGATGCACACCGCCTGCATTGCAACGAGGGCCCGAGATCCAGCAAACAAATATGCGAGCATGGGCCTCGTTCCATTCCCGAGTCAAGACAACAGCAGACAAGGCTTCCCAAAGTTGCCAGTCCTCTTCCACATCGAGGGATCCCAAGAACGAATTCAAAAACAGCCCCTCTCGTTTAATCGAGGACCTGACTTGCGGGGATCCGTCGAGCCTGCCGTCTGCTGGCAAGGCAGAAAGAAGCGATACGAAAACAGATTGCAGGGCCAAAGTGGAGGCGAATCCGCGGAAGATCTTTCTCCAGGCGCCAGAATACCGCAGATTCTCCACTGCAAGTCGCTCTCGGATAAGAGGTAGGGTTGCCTGGAAGAAAGAAGGCTGCGATCTTGAAGAGGGTGGCGACGAAGGGAAGCAGCCGAGATTGATGAGCTTGGCGAGGAGGAAGGTCAGTCCCCCCGATTCATCCTCTGTGTCAATTCAATAAAAATACGACCTAATGTGTCATCTCGCACCTCGGGTGTCCGACGACATCGCCGCAATCGCAATCTCACAGCGCTCACAGAGCTGGTTGAAATAGACCCCATGTTCTAGCTGGGGAGGGATATCCTTGCCCTCGAGGGCATTTGCTACCCGTACTGGAACGGAAACAATGCTCCGCACACAATCTTCCCATCTCGCTGCTCTCTTCACTTTGTCCTCAGCTCGGGAATGCGAGAATACAGCCGAGTGCAGTCTGTCAACGGGATATCGCTCGGACAACCTTGACAAGAGTCCTATCGAGTACTCTGCAAGCGGGAGAGACAATATCGTCGAGTAAGCGAGTACAGTCACGTCCCCCGTTGCTGACGACGCAAACGAAAAGCTGTCCGGGCAGAAGAATTGATCTATTATGGGTCCCGCATTTTCTTCAACCAGAGAGGACTGCCACGTGGGACCAATATGTTTTAGTATCTCTCGTTGAAAGGCGGGAATGTGTCTGGCGATTGATATGGCTCCGGCGGGAAGTGGATCGACATTATACCGCCTGAAAGCGGGGGGTAGCAGACCGATCGAGTCCAGAGGCGCACAGAGCAGCGCTAGAACAGTCTTCAAGTCAGGGAGGGGTGAACGAAGGCGATTGAGGATCTCTTCGACTTCAGTCGAGGCCATTTCCTGGTTCGATGACCGTCCAGAGGCCCGCAGCCGAATCCAAAAGCAAGATGGTACTTAGCATCAATTCTGATATCAAGCTCGCACGTGGTGTCAATTATTCTGCCAGTCACGGACGTGTCGAGGCGTGGCGGCGAACCCTCCCAATCTGAATTGCTCCACTTCAAATCGTCTAGTCTGAGACTACAACCCTTCTGTTCTCTCTGCTCCGGATTTCATCAACGCATCCTCTGAGTTCTGGGCTGCAGTAAGTTGGGCATCCGGTTTCGTGCCAATGTCCTCATTGACGCGTCTCCAGGTCAATATGGCAAGCCACATCAAACAGGTATACTTCACACAAGCCTCAGGACGATGATTCTAAACCCGATGCAAGATAGCAGTCACTCCCACGCTGCAACAGGCCCAAACGGATGCCTTGCTTTCTCTACTCAATTTGAATTCCGCCGACAATACAGGTGACCAGCACCACAAAGCCACCACCGGACAGAAAGTCCCACAACCTGCCGGGAAACTCGTCTGGAAGATACTCGTACTGGATCAGCAAACGAAGGACGTGCTCGCGACCGTGCTACGTGTGCAAGACTTGCGAGATGTTGGAGTAACATTACATGTGTGCGCGTATTCAAGTGCCCACCTTGCGAGCGAACTGACGATCAGCACAGACAATTGAACTCGAACCGCCCTCCATTGAGAGACGTCCCTGCTGTCTATCTTGTCTCTCCGACACTGGCCAATATCAGGAGGATAGCAGAGGACCTCGAGAAAGGTCTATACGAATCATTTCATCTCAACTTTGTCGAGCCGCTACCACGTGCGCTTTTGGAAGAGCTGGCGGCGTCTGTAGCGAGGGATGGTACGGGGGATATGGTGAAACAGGCTCGTAGTGCTCATACCTCAAGTGCACACTTGATTTTAACCCTGAGATTAGGTCCTGGACCAATATCTCTCATTCATCTCCCCTTCGCCGTCCCTCTTCTCGCTTCTGCCCCCACCGACCCCGCCGGCAAATGCTGGACAGGTCGCCCCGTCGAATCCGGTCACATCGTATACCATTCTGAACTCGCCAGCTTCGACCGAGCAACAGATTGAAGCCGAGATCGAGCGGATTGCAAGTGGATTATTCGGTGCTGTTGTCACCATGGGTAAGGCACTGATGCAAAGGAGCACTGAACTGGATTATTGATTTGCAACAGGGCATGTGCCATACATCCGGTGTCCCAGGGGCAATGCAGCAGAGATGATCGCAAAGAAATTGGAGACGAAGATCAGAGATGCCTTACTGACTGCCTCAAGAGCGCCCTCCCATTCTTCCTCTTCCAACTCTTTGTTTTCCCAAGACACTTCAGGGCTGAGCGGTCTTCAGCGTCCCTGTAATCTCGTTTTATGTTTTCTGACCAAGAAGCTGATGTGTTCATTTATAGTGCTGCTGATTTTGGACCGTAACATCGATTTGGCTTCGCCTATTCTTCATGGCTGGACGTATCAAGCCCTGATCTCGGACTGTTTCGAGATGAACCTGAATCGCGTCGTTGTTCCAGCTACAACAACTCAACCACCGCAGCCAAAGCGATCTTATGATCTCGACTCGAAAGACTTTTTCTGGGAACGCAACGCTGCAAATCCGTTCCCGCAAGTTGCAGAGGACATCGACACAGAGCTGAACAAATATAAATCTGACGCAGCCGAGATCACCAGAAACACTGGGGTCAGCGACGTGAACGATATTGCTCAGTTGTACGGTGAAATTCAAGTGCCCAGACGCCCGTGCTAATTTGGAATCCGCTCTGCTCAGGGATCTGTCGGCCAACGCAGCCCACCTCAAGACAGCGATTACTCAGCTACCTGAATTGACGGCTCGCAAAGCCACTCTGGACACGCATATGAACATTGCGACCACTCTTCTGGAGCACATCAAACAGCGAGGCCTAGACGAGCTGTTCAGCATTGAGGAGGCCATCAACAAACAGGTTCGTTTGATTGTCGTCCTCCGGTTCCCGTCTTTATTTTTGTGTGACAGTCCATGCAAACCATCATGAGCACTCTGCGTGGAGATTCTCCTGCGTTGTCTGCCGAGGACAAGCTGCGCTTAGTGGTCACATTTTATCTTTCTCGAGGGTCAGACAACATGTTGTCGAAGGATGATGTGAGCGAACTGGAAAAAGAGCTGAAGAGCTCTGGTGCCAACATTGGCGCTTTTGAATATGTGCGCAAGTTGCGTGAGGTGGAACGGATGAGCATGGGAACGTTCTCTGTCGCCACCGGACCAGGCACTCCGGCCAATGAATCGGCGGGCGGCGAGCTCTTCAAAGGCTTCAGTGCGCTTGGAAACAAGGTTCGTCCCTTTGGGATACCCGAGGTCGCTCCCAATCTGACTTCTTCAGTTAACGGACCGATTCGCGACGACAGGCTTTGAGGGCCTGATCTCAGGGGTCAAGAACTTCTTGCCCACGAACAAGCTGCTGCCCGTTACCCGTGTGACCGAGGCTCTCATGGACTCTGCCAGTGCATCAAATTCTTCCTTGCAAGAAACCGACGACTTTCTGTTCTTGGATCCTCGTGCGCCACGGACTTCGGCAATCGGCCCTGGTGGAATTGGGGGCAGCGGGGCTGGAACCGGACGAAGCCGGCGGATGGCGTTTGCTGAGAGTGTGGTTTTCGTTGTTGGCGGCGCTGGCTACGTCGAGTACGGAAATCTTGAAGAATGGGCAGCAACGACGGGGAAGCGGGTCACTTATGGAGGCACAGATATTGTGGACCCTAGCGCTTTCATTCGCATTCTCGAGGGATTAGCCACGGGGACGTAGTTCAGTCGTATTCTATATATGTGAGAAAGCAAACAGCAATCAGATACAGGATATAAGTACAGCAACGCAGCGAGTATCCAAGATATAATAAATACCAGGAGCAATCTCAGTAATTCATCCAGCCTAGGCAGCCACCTTCTTCGTCGACTTGACGGCTTTAGCGGGTTCTGCCTTGATAGAGCGTTTGCCCTTGGTTTTGACGGGCGCCGCTTTGGTTGTTTTGGACTTTTCCGTGGCGGGCTACAGAATATGCTTAGCTCGGTCGATGCGTAACAGTAACGAGCGACGGACCTTCTTGGTCGAGGGTGCTGCCTTCTTAACTGCTGCTGGCTTCTTCATAATTGGTTTCTTGACGGTAACAGACTTCTTTCCAACGACGGCCTGGCGATCATCAACAAAAAGCGACGCCCCAAACAGTCAGTCCGGTGACCTTTTTCGCTGGAGCACGCTTAGAGGGTGCCGCCGTCTTCTTGGTGACAGTCGCCTTGGGCTTGAGAGTCTTCTTCGCCGGAACTGACTTCTTCGCAGATGGTTTGGAAGTGGCCGCCGATTTATTGGCAGTGGTCGTTGTCGTGCCTTGCTTGGGCTTAGCTTTGACCATGTAAGTAGCCGGGGCCTTGGAGGTCACATGTTTAGCAGGTGGGGGCGGCTTCACAGCTTTCGAGACTGGTTTCGAGTTCTATGGGCGATGTCAAGAGCAGTGAAGACACAGTAGGTGAGCGCACCTCTTTGGCAGCCTCCCCACGGACCTTAGGTGTGAGCTTCACCTTCCCGGAGGGTCCTGACTGACGTATGAGCGGATATCCCGACCTGAGTGAGGTGGTCCCGAACCCTTCGGTAATACGAATTGCCCGCGTTCGCTTCCAGACGTGATAGCGCGGTTGAGCTGACTCGCAGCAGCAGCATTGACCTCGACCTTATACTTGGACTCGACAAACTGTAACGGAGTTTAGCAGTTGAACTAAGTTATAGCGACAACACGAGTCGAGTGCGTGTTGAGGTTGACCTTCTTGATCATGGGGCGCGATACTCCGCCTCTGGCTTCTTCAGGGTGGGCGATGATGCATTCCTGAAAGACAGACAGGATTTGGCCCCATTGGACGGCGCAAAGGGTAGCAACGGGCGGCAAACCTTTATCATATCTATCCAGGGTGGATGGGTGCTGACGCTCTTGTTCTTGGGCACAATAGAGCCCTTGGTGGCCACCTTGGCTTTGGTCTTGATGTTTGATGTGGGCATTGAGCTGATGAGGTTGGGGAACCGAGTGGAGAGAACAGAGGGGAGAAGGGGAGGGAATAAGAGACGTTGACTTCCGATTCGTTCACCAAGGCAGATCACGTGGAGTCTTGGTCGTGCACGGTCCAGTTCGTGGCACGAATGGAAACAGAGGGTGCATAGCGTGTACAGGAGGGTTAAGAAGAGGATAAAGGTTATGCAGGAGGTTCAAAAGGAGCCACATAGGTGCTCTGAGGACGACAGATTGAAGGCCAGGGTAGGCAATAGCGAAGCAACGGCTTTGATGATCTTCGGGTGTTAGTCGATCGAGTGCTTCAATACAAGTACTAGAATGTGGATATGGAAGGGGTTAGTCGTTTCATCTATTGCTCGCGTGGTTGGATGACTCTTTGCGTGCAATGGTATGAGGAAGAGGGAGGAAAACTAGCGCAAAGCATTCACGGACAAATTTGGAAGTTTCTCGATCAATGCATCAAACCGGTATCCATCCGTGCTTCGGCGTGGATTAGTATTACGAGCACCCACTTTTCCTGAGCACACTCGCTACCGAGCTATGTCCGCTCTGTTCTCAGAATACTTGGCTACGGACGATACGACCATCCTACTGGGACTCATCGCAGCTACCGTATTTCTACTGAACAATCTCTACAAGCCTCAGCCTTCCATCCACCCCATCCTCCTTGGGCGTCAGAGTGACGTTGCACGCGTGCGCAATCCCGGAGAGAGTGCTGTCTATCGAAACTATGGCACTGGATTAATGGGTCGGGTCTGTAATACGCTCTATCCTGCAGGTTTGGCGTCTGAACCTTTGTCATAGTTCCCGCTTCGACCGGCAAAGGATGTGCACATTCTTGCAGACATGCTGAAACCTGACTCGGACGCGCCGCGAACCCTCTGGTCGACCAAAGTGCGCGTTCCCAGTATCTGGATGTGTTCGATGTTCTCATTTACGAAGGTTAGCAACCCGTTCTTCAAGACCGAATCGCGGCCTTCGGCACAGGCCTTCTGCGACTGGCAGGTTTGGAGGTGGGAGAATCCAATGTCTTGCTATTGCTGAATGATTGCGTCGGTGCGCATATCTTAACTCTTGGCCTGACATACTGATAGAACTCGCGCGCGCAGAGTTCGTTATTGCTGACTTTGCCCTCGCGTCGCACTCCATTCCATCATTCACCCTGTCATCGTCCACCCTGCTAGCGCCTGTGTTGGAATCGCACCCCCCATCTGCAATCGTAACCCACGCGTCGTTGCTGACCTCGGTTCTTGAACTGATCTATGACGCGGGCGAGGCCAATCGGAACCATACTATCATTGTCGTGGGAGAACCAAGCTCGCAGGCCCTCGCCAGTGTTGCAAGCCGAGTCCAAGTTCTGAGATGGGCCGATGTTGAACGCGAAGGGGTCAAGACTGAGAAAATTCTGAGCCCTATTCCGAGTCAGTATGGACTGCCTGTCTGGTCACGACGCTCATCCATGCACAGAACCCAGCGACGTGTTCACTGTGTCGTTCTTCGCTTCTGAGTCGGGACAGATTCAAGGAGCTCAACTTTCCCATGAAAACATTACCGCTGGGGTAGCTGCAGTCCGAGCAATGCTGCCTCTGTCACACACTCTCACCCAATTGGACACCATTATCTCCGCTCATTCGATCAGTACGGCATATGGACGAGCGATTGCATACACGGCATTGTATGAGGGCACCAGTTTCGCCACGCTCGATAGCGCCAAGCTCTTTGTCGACGAAGATTGTGTGTGCCTCCCATTTCATGCAGCCGGTAGCTGATGAATAACTCCAGCCACCTCCCGAATTGATTTGCAAGACGTTCTTTCGAGTAGAAATTATCCGATACCTCCTGCAAGCGTGTTGTTTGTGAAGCCTGGACACGTGCAGGCGCTGGTCAACGCTGTTTCCAAGGAATCCCGCAAGTCGTTTTGTATCCATTCGCATGGAGACACAAAATGGCCAGTATGTCGGAAGGTTTCATTGCCAAAGATGGACTGTGGGACCGACTGGTGTTCGATGCTGCTCGTGCGAAAGCTATTGGAGACGGATCCAATGCTCTGCGGGCGATTATCTCGAGCGAGGGTGAGTCGGTATCTTATTATTTGCTGTCTGGAGATATTCTCAACGGATCTTGCAGGTTCCATCCCCGCAAACGAGTTGGCTCCGTCGCGGATCTCGCTGTCCATTCCCATCATTAATTGCTATTCCCATCCGTTGGTCGCTGCGCCGGTTCTTGCGTCACATGCGCTGGACGTGCAGGACTTGGACCCGGAATCGACCGGGCCGGCTCATACTGGGCCGCCAGGGATCAATGTCGAGGTCAAGCTGGTCGGCGTAGAGGACGATCGTGTTGAGAGCGGCGAGAATCCGTCGGGCATTCTCATGGTGCGGGGACCCCCAGTCGGAAGACTGACTAGTATGGAGACGAGCTATGTCAATATCGAAACGGGAGAGGAGGACGGATGGATCGGCACTGGGCTGCGCATGACAGTGCAAACCAACGGCGCATTTCGATTGGCTCTCTAAGGGGATGTCAATGACATAACCACAATAACGCGTCTCTGCGCTGTACCCAGCGTTCTTCCGATGCAGTGTCACTAAATAACATGCAATGTCAACAAGTTTCGCTATGACATTTATCGGGTCTAAGAGAGACTAGGCCACTCGCCGCCATGCAAGGCGAGTCCTCACAACACATCTTGAGTGGCAGTGTAGTGGCAGTGTTGAATATCAACAAACGCGCCCTCACGTGGTTCTCACCTGACCTATTATATAGGGGACAGATAAGGTGAACACAAGACAAATCCTCTACCAACCCCCAACATCATCTACGCTTCCTCTCCTCGCGAACCCTAACATGTCCGCCAGCTCGCCTGTCTCCTCGCCCGCTCCTGAGTCTCCCATCGCTGCTCAGCCTCCGAAGAAGGAGAAAGCTACTAAGAAGGCCGCTGCTCCCAAAGCTAAGAAGGAGACCAAGACCAAGCCCGCCGCCAAGGCTAAATCGTCCTCCTCGCCCAAGGCAACTCCCGCTCATCCTTCGTTCCGTGACATTATCAAGGTATTCGATCCCCAGTTATTCCATACCCTCTGCTCATCCTCTGAACAGGAATGCATCGTCAACAACAAAGACACAGTTCGGCAGGGCGTGTCTCGTGCCACCCTCAAGAAAGTGCGTGTTTTGTGTATCCTCTCGTCTCGTACTCATTCTCTGGGCTAGTATGCCGAGGATACCTACCAGCTGAATACTTCGTCCGACATCGCTCACCTCAACCGCGCTCTGGTGTCTGGTGTCGAAGCCGGCCTGTTCGTCCAGCCTAAAGTAGGTTACGGCCGCTTTTGTGCTCTGCTCTCAACTCACATGGATTTCCTAGGGTCCATCTGGTTGCGTGAAGCTGGCACCAAGGTCCGAAACGATACGAAAGAAAACTCGAAGCCTGTGTCCAAGGTTACCAAAGCTGCTACTGTTGGGAAGTCTGCCACCAAGGCCACCAAGCCCCAGGCTGCTGCATCCAAACCAGCAGCTAAACCTAAGGCAAAGGCTGCGACGAAGCCCGTGGCTACCAAAGCAAAGGCTGTGTCGACGACGAAGAAGACCACTACAACCAAGGCCGACAAGGCTGCTCCCACCAAGAAGGTCCTCGCAGGCAAGGCCACTAAGGCTGCTCCTGCGAAGAAGACCTCATCCAAGGCCGCTGCAGTCAAGAAGGTGTGTATTTGTTCGTCTTGTGAGATCCGATGCTGAAAACTTTGTAGACAGTGACTGGCAAGAAGGCTGCACCTGCGACCAAAGCCAAGGTTGCAGCCAAGGCCGCCCCCGCAAAGAAGGTACGAATCATCAACTGGAAGCCAGAGCGATTGCTGATTGTTTGTTCAGACCTCTCGTGCAGCACCGAAGCCGCGGTCAAATGCGAAGAAGGCCACGGCTTGATTGCGCGTGTTTCTCGTATCTGGCATTTGCAGCAGCTCGCAGGGGCTGTTTTATCTTATTCTCTCTGTACCATCATCCACATATGTACTACTCACATATGTACCTCTACCTATCTGTCTCTAGGATGTGCATACTATGCTCGGTGTATCTTGTTCTAATAGAATGTGAGCAGACCAGTCCGAGCTTGTTGTCTTAGCCCTTCAAAGTCGGCTCTACCCAAACAGCCCGCAGAATCTGCTTGTGGTCGGCAGCGCCCACCGATCTCGCCATATCGCTCTGCTGCACGCTAGGCGTGTTCACGAACTTGGCGACTGCATCCAGCATGTCCAAATCCAGCCCGTACCGAGCCGCAAGGAACTCCATATCACGTCGCGTCTTGACTGATTTGCGCTGGTCAAGCAGGAGACTGAGCCGGGGCGCTGGCATGCGGTTGCGTATTGGCGTCGGTGATTCCGCGTCTGTTTCAGACTGGACGCGCGTTTTGTACATCTGGCTGGCGACAGTTGCCTGAAGTGAAGGAGCGTAAGCGGGCACGGCCAACTCATAGTATGACCTAGTCTAGCTCACAGGGCGCGTTGTCTGCATGTTGTGGTCCACCTTCACCTGACCGAGCTGACTGAGCTTGGACAAGAAGTGCGGATCTTGGGCATCCTCCTCGATGACTGCGAATAGGCGCGGTCAGATACGTGCAATATCATCGCAGACGCGTCTCTCTGCCCTTGGTTTTAGTTTCGCTCGCGACGCCCTCTGTGCGAGGAACAGGGCGCGCACCGGACCATGGGGGTGGTGTCGTCGCCGTCGCGCGCTTGGGAAGTGATCGAGCTGCCTTGGAGGATGAGCTGCCCATGACGGAGTTCAGAAGAAAGATGACTAATGACAAGCGAGTCTATTGCATGGAATAACTGGCTAGCAGACCAGACTGTTGTACAAGTAGGAAAAAAGAGTATGTATATGGTAACGCAGAGAAGAATCCTAAGATAACCAAGAGGCACACTGGCCCGGGGAATAGATATTGGTTTCAAACGATGGAATAGGGTGTCGTGACGGTCATCAATTCAATACGTTTGCGGAGGCTGCTGGTAGGGCGCATACATATACCCTTGGTGATACACGTGTCCAGGCATGGCTCCGTAGGTCGGCTGCGCCATCATCGGCGGCGGCGACGGCGCTCCGTAGGGCACAGGACTCGGCATCGCACCGTTCGGGGTGTTGCGTCGCCCTCCCCGCATGCCATCGCCTTCTCCTCGGCCACCGAACGGACTGAAGAGGTCCGGAGAGTAGCCGGGTCCCGTGCTGTTGGTTCGACGAGGCGCGTTGGGACTCGCGTAGGACGGGTCGATCTGGAGCTGAGCAGGCCCGGCCTGGGAATTCTGTCCACCCATCTGCAGGGCGGCCATCATCGACGCGAGGCCTTGGTCGTTCGACGGATATCCCGATGGCAGTCCGGGCACCCCGTACCCGTTGTTCGCGGCTGACTTGTTCTTGCCATTGCCAGGGACAGCGGCAGAGTACGTCGGCTGGAAGTTGGGCACCGGCAACCCAACCTCCTCAATCAACCGCCGATACGCCTGGGTCGCAATCACCTTCAGCTCAATCAGAACCCGCTTGGTCGCCTCGATGTAGTTGTTTTTCAAGATCGGGTCGATGAACGGACTGGTCAGAATTTTGTGCACGACAGAGACACCGTTGACCTGGTCGCCGAGCACATCGGCCAGAACATGGTCTCCTGCAGACGAGAACAGCGCCTCGACAATCTCCGTCGACGCATCCGGCTCGATTTTTTGGTTGACGATCCGGAGGACGGTCAGGGATGCCAGTTTATGGGTGCACAGATGTGAGAGATGCGGAGTGAACCGGGGAGCAAGGAGGTTGTACCGCGAGGGGAAGCCTGATGTGTCCAGAAGCCAGGTGAGCAGAAGCGCGCCGTTCGGATGGTTGCGAGCGGGATCGAGTTGAGGATGATTGCCGTCGCAACCCTTCGCTGCTGGCTGAGGGTGATGTGCGGGCTCTCCAAGCAAGCTCGCATGCTCCGAGCACCGAAGCGACCTTGCGCAACTTCCCACATGCGGTCGACAATGGCATCGAAGATGAAGTCGTTCGCGGGCGCTCCGAATCGCAAGCAGCATCTGTGCGCCGGATAGTCAGCCATGAACCATACATCACATCAAACAAGCACGCACTGCACGACATAGTTGCCGAACTGATCAAGCAGAAGCGGCGGAGCGTACGCCCGCAGGTTCTGCGTGATGATCGAAATCTCCTCGGGGCTTTGAACACACTCGATGATCTTCTGGGCAGCCAAGTGCCATTTTTGTGGATGCCAATCATGGCCAAATTCGGGGAAATGCGCTCCAGCATCGAGAACCGAGGTGCGGGCGAGCATCGCTCGAACAATTTCTGGACGACAGTGTTTCCGAGCCAGTCAGAAGCCAGATCGACAATCTCGCCCTCGAGGAAATCGGTCGCGACCTGATCAATCTCCTCGACTGTCATGGTCCCAGAGTCCAAACGCTTACGGAGCTCGCGCAGCTTGGATGCATCCCAGCGCCGGCTGTGGGGTCGTTCAGAGACAAGCGGGATGGTCGTGTAATACATCGTGGGCGGGCGGAAATCGGCCAAAGCCATGACATCCTGCTCAGCATCGAGGCTGCCGGCCGTCAACTGCTTCATGATCATCTGCTGCTCCGTAACCGACGGTCCTCGCGCATCGGTTGCGTAAGCATTATGGGCGCCGGCCGCAATCATGCTCAGCAGCAAGTTTGACCGATAATTCTCAACCGCGCCCCCGAGAACCTGTTGATCCGCAGGGATAGTGATCGCACCCTTCACAGTTCGAAGCGCATGAATGGTCGCTCCCACGGACAGGTCCCCGACGGCCTGGACAGCAAGGGTCGAGTTTTCTTCTCCGGCATTGCTCGTGTCAGCTCCGTTTTTGACGGGAACCTTGGCAAATCCGATCCGGATCGCGCCGACATCGCTGCCCAGAACGTCTCGACCATTCAGTGCTTTCCTGGCTCGCACAGCATCATCCAAACGCTCAAAGTTGACTGGCGTGTGATCAGTTGCGACTAACGAAGGAGGATGACAAACGCTTACTGAAGCCGCAATTCTTGTGCGTAAGCACTCGAGCAGATTCGATCGGACCGTACGGGCTGAACACGCTGAGGATCGTTGCCGGAGTAGTAGTTGATGGGATGGATCCAATCCAGAGCGCCCGAGTTGGAGTCGACTGAAGCTCCATGCCACCCAGCGCCGCGTTCGAGTTCGCAGGTTTGCTGGCGCCGGGTGATGCCGGTGCCGGACTAGTCGGATTGCCTTTGGCCGGAGCGACGGGTGCGCTGTCAGCTTTCCCAAAGCCAATCCGAACGGTCTGACCGTTGGGCATGCCGATGTTTCCGCCAAGACGGTTGAGAACATCGTCCTTAGCGCGAATTGCGTCCGCTTGGTCCACGAAGTTGACGAACCCACACTCCTGCGCGCAAAATTAGAACGACAAAGAGAAGCGCCAGTGGAACAAACCTTCTCCGGTAAGAGCCGCAGGCTTTCGATTGCGCCATACGGTGCAAATACGTGAATAAGCTGCTCGCTCGTGACCACCCCGTCCAGATTACCAATCCACAATGACCGGCTCGGGGTCTGAACCTGAGATGCAGGGGTCTCCGCTTTGGGGGAAGAAGATCGAGTGGCCTGAGAAACCTGGTGCCATCAGATAGTTGGAGACCCTGGACGCCAGATCACCCCCATTTGGAAAGTGCACTGTGGGAGAAGCCACAGCCTGAGGCGCCAATTTAGCGTTCGCCTTGAGGATGCTGCCAGGATTGTTGTTCGTCGTGATGGACAGGCCAGAGCTTTGATGAGACAGCTCATTCATGTAGTTATGCGCCTCGACAGCATTGGCCCGCCGTTGCAGAGAGCGCATGGGGTCGTCGAGCACGCCGACAGAGATGGCACGGGGTCGGGTCGGGGCCAGATGCTCCGCAGGCTTGTATGACTTGGTGAGATAGTTCGAAGAACCGTAACCTGCATCTTGCACGTAGGTGTCAGTGTTCAGATGCTGGCGATAGCCATCTCATATGTGTCAAAATACTCCTCTTCCTCGTTGCCAGCGGGGGTGAGATGTCCAGACGATGGGATCGGGGGGCGGCTGCGATACGGATTCGAAACAGTCGTCGCGCGCATACGATTGCCAGCAAGGAGCGCAGCCTGAGCTTGATTGCGCAACTCCGAAATAGTCGCCGCAGGCGGTGGACGGGGTCTATCGTCCAGCCCCAGGTAGTCGAGAGTGTGCACATCAAATTCGTCGGTGGAATCTGCCGAAGTGACAGAGCGCAATTCGTCGAGAGCTGAATAACCGCCGTTTGCGCCAGAGGACAGCCACGAGGAGGAGAATATCGAAGGACCGAATGCATTGGAAAGCCCACCAGTGGGGAGAGTCAATGAACCAGACCGAAGGCGGCTGTTTGGCTCCCGAGCTGCGGTGGAAGCTACGGAAGAAGCCACTGAAGTCGAGTGACGCAAGCCAGGACGCGAAGGTGCCAGGGAAGGAGGTGCCACCATCTGCCGCTGAGACTGTTCAAGAAGCGACTCAGAAGACGATGTCAGGGTACCCAAGGTACTGGATGCGGCGGCGTAGCGCTGGGCGGCAAGTTGGACGTTGGAGGGTAAGGTTCCAGCCCTTGCCCTCCGGAAACCTGGGGGGTAATTGGTCGGAGGTAGGGCTGTGCATCACTGGCGTCGTGACGGTGGGGATACCTCGTTAGGAGGCGATCCGCCAGATTCGAGAGCGCGCAGCGCAGGCGGCGGTATCGACCACTCAATCCCGCCTCTGCTTGCAACTCCCGTGCCCTGATCCGATTTGAGGTGAGGAAGATAGAAGAAAAACGCGACTTTAGTCGCACCTCTTTGCATATGCGGCAGAAGGAGCTGGCGGAGGTGTCTTGCCCGAGGGAGGCGCTCTGAATGCGCTGTTGTCGGCAGAGAGAGACATGTCGATTATAGTGGTAGAAGAGAAGAATTAGGGATTAAATGTGAGAGTTGCCGAAGGGAGGCAATTAAGTCGACGGCGTCGACGATGGTTTGTACAGAACAAAACTATAGCGGAGAGGTGTGGATGAGGGAGATGTGAGACCTCAGGTCCTGCAGCTGATCTGAAACACAGGACCAAACAAGACTTTGCCACCGTGACCGCCGACGCGCGTCCGATGCCTTCTTTGACTGCTTCCATCTGATACTCACGTTACAAGCTACTTCGATCTTCGTTCTGGAAAACCGCGCGTAGACTGAGAGATCCCTGTTCTCGCATAAGAAAATGCAGGGCCCAAGTTTTATGGTGCGTCGTTAGAGTGGAATCCATGGCCATTGGAACACTACAGTCTTTGAACGAGAGTTCTACAGCGTTCGCGCCCCTTGGGGTCGTCAGTCTGCTGATATAGCTGGGCAGCCTTGTCTACATATACTCGGTCGCTGCACAGTCTCCCAAGTCCTAGCAAACAATCTGCCGTCGAGCGCAATGCGCCTGTTTTGCTGACGGCTGGGTAGGTTGCGCGGAATATCATTAGGGCGGCCGGGTGATCTCCATCCGCTTCGAAGGCTTCACCGAGACGGACCATTGTTTCGGTGATGCCTTTGATGTTCTGTGCTTTACGCTGCTTCGCCGCTGCGACCAGCAAATGCTGCAGTCCGACGCGGACTTGCCCCTGCATCACATGAACTGCGCCGAGTTTAACGCGGCATTGAGATTCCTCTACCGATAATCCCAAGGACTCCGCAGATGTCAGCGCGCGCTGATACATTGTGGCAGCTTCCATTACGGAATTTTGGAACATGGCTACATCCCCTGGTGGTCTGTCAGTGACTGGAATCTGTCCTGACTCGGGACGATCGAACCAAATACTATATCCAGATGCATCCGACCGTGGCGCCACCGGAGTCTTTTCAAAGGTCTTCCAAGCCGCATCCAGCCAGCGTTTGGCTTCGGTGTAATTGTATAAATATGCCTCCGCTGTGCCTAGAGATAACTGGGCAAATGCACCGTATGTCGTTTGAAGCGAGCTGTTTGTCCGGAAGGCCTGCACAGCTTTGGTGTAGATCTGTTGTGCCTCCCGATACTGGCATCGGGCGACCAAGATGTCTCCTTTGCCAATAAGAGCAAGAGCTGCATGGCTGCTGGCTCCTGCTTGCTGTAACACAGCTTCTGCCTCTTCGTAACGCTCCTCGGCAGATGCGTCGTCCCTGAAATCTGCGATTCTCCCGAGGAAATACAGCGTCATCCCAATGTTTGTGAGATGCTCTTCCTGTCGGAACAATCCAAAGCCTGGAAATCTATGTGAGACTAATGCAGCACTGGTCTGGTGGGGTCGCACCTCCAGACTGAGCGCTTCGGCTGTTGCAGCATCTCCAGCATGGAACTGAGCTTCGGATAAGCAGGACAGGCATTTTGCCCGACAGTTTTGGTTCTGTGCTTCCGTGGCCAAAGCGAGCGCTTCTTCGAACTTCAGTTTGCACTCTTTCTGTCGCTTGCTCGTCTTGAGTATCTGCCCCAAAAGCCAAGTACTCTGTGCTCGGCCGTCAAGATTCTCCTGCGTTTCGTAAATCGCCAGTGCGTCGTTGCACAATTGTTCTGCTTCAGGGCTATCTCCTGCCACGACCAACTTGACCCATGAAAGATTAAACAGGACATCCGCTTGTAGGATAGGATCATAGATGCTTCAACACAGAGCTCGCCAGACCGATGGTATCTGGATTCCCCAGTTGAGTGTACCGCAGGAATTTCGCGAGATTTATCGCAGCATCGATAGCAGCACGGATAAGAGCTGGTTGGGTGTCTCTGAGCGCCAGATCAACGAGAATGTTCCCGGATGTTATTTCAGGAACGATTTTCTTGACGATGTCCTGTCCGTGCGGCCCGCTGACGACGTTCTGTCACTGGACTCGGCGCAGAAACGCTGAGGGACGCACCCCAAATCGCAGGCTAGACCGGCCAATGCCATGTAGTAAGTGTAGACCGGCAGCAGATGCATCTCGCTAGGAGGATAGTGGACTCGCATATGGGCCGGATGGGTGCAAGCACGCGAGTGTGGTTGTTTCCATCGTTGTAAGCAAGAGAAGTGTGCCATAGGGTGGACAGAGCCCGCCGAGACTTGGTGAGATTCGGGAAGATCGCACCTAATTGGCGATTCTCGATTCCATCAGGCAAGACTGATAGCAAACTGAGCAGTACCAGTGCCTGGGCGCAATCAGATGGAGTCGAAGATGGCGCTGCGACGAACCTCGGGCTCTGCTTCATCCGAGGGCTGTTTAGCGAGATACTGATTGAGACATCAAAACTCGATGAGCGATCAGCGGTCCGATGAAGCAAAGACGTCTGCTCTTCGCGCCAGCGGTCGAACAAGGTCTCCGTGCTGTCCGTCTCTGTCAGATTGGCCATGAGCACAATCCCCAGCGGTACATTATCGACGACAGCTAGCAATCTGCGCCAATGAGCACTGGGATCGCAACAAAGATTGCTTACTGATCGATCCCGTCGTCGTTCTCTAAACAGTCTGAGAGCGCCAGGAAAGCCTTGCGAGCAGCCGAGTTGTCGAGGGGTCCCAGTTGAGGGAGGAACGGCCTCGACCAGCACACCAGCAGGGCGCTCTGCACCGCGCATTGTGACAACTACATCCAGTGTGTCCAAGGAGCACAACAAAGCCAGCAGCTCCTCAGCCGCCTTCTTGTTCTCGGGCCGGCATCCCATGGCGATTCAAAATTGTCGAGGACCAGCACAGAACGCTGCTCCGTCGCGGCG